AATGGAAAATTATGGGTTTTAGTATAAAACTGAAAGACCAATTTGAAAAATGACAAGGCCAGAAATCTCTTACATCCCTGGGACAAGACAAGATTCAATTTTTAAAAGATCAATCTTTCACTTGGAAGGGAGGCATCATTGGAAATTACTGTTTCAAGGATTTTAAAATCACCGTCCAAGGCTGATGAAACAAGTATCAGATCAAGTTCAGATGATATGGCAATAAAAGTAAAATTACCTTTATCAAAAGAGTGACTTACCTTGGTAAGGAACAATTTTTCGAGAGCTTGAGCCATGACGACAACATACTCTCCAGGCTTATTGTATACATAACAATTAGTGAACATGGTGTTGAAATCTTGTATGCATTCCCGTCCACTCCAATAATAATTATTTTCTAGGCGTTTTTTAATGGTCCCCAGGTCCATTGGATTTTTTATTAAAGTGTGATAATCCTGCAATAGAGAAAAAGGATTCCACACTATAACTTAAACATTATTACTTATGCACTTGGAGAGAGGAAAAGAGGAGAAATATTCTTTTAAAACAGAAATTTCTTCCCTCTTATAATTATTATTGAGCAGCTATATGAATGTACTATTCAAATGGATAATACTATCCACCTTGGATAGTAGTAGTCAATAACAGAGACAAGGGTTTAAACAGCTCTGAACCTCCGAAATTTTGATGAGTTAACTTTTTTTTAAGTTTCCGAGGCCTGCGCTCTGAGAGATTACGCAATGACTCACATGGAGTCACTCAGTGCCCTAACACCTATTTCAGCCGCCAAGATGACGCTATCGCTGATTTTTCTGAAAAAACCAAAAATTTGTGTTCAAGATTTACATATTGATGGCCAACGAACGATATCGTCTACCTGACAATTTTGGCAAGAATGAGTTACCAGCTTTGCTGCATTCTACAGTATAAAGTACACAAGCTGATGATTTTGTTTTTTTCCAATGCTGTAGGGGAGCGCTTCAATGACGCTGTAACGTATGAAAAAAATTGCAAATCTAACCTTCAAATTACAAAAATGGCAAAGTTTTCTAATCAATCTACAAAATCTTCCGTTTGCAAATAGGCAGAATTGTTTCTTAGCTACCCATATTGTTCAAACTCTATATATAAAATATAAAAAAGATAGTAACTCCGAGTACTTAATGGCAACGATACTTGGTGCGAGTGGTTGAAAAACGGCTAAAATCTGAAATTTTTTTTGTTTAAGGAAAGAACCTGCGAGACAAAATTTATTTTATTTTATGATTAAATACGGCTGTTTTGCAGAAATTTGTGATGACATGGTATTACTTTTTTCTGAGCTCTATTTAATCATTGACCAGTATTTGAGTACCGGCCATAAAAGAAAGAGCAAAAGACAAAAAATAACTGCACATATCCAATATGAAGAAAATCCCAGTTTTATAGAACTGGGGAAAGAAGAGAATAGACAAATACATAGGCTGTCCCAAAACAACTGGCACTAAGGCTGTCATTCGGGAACTACAATAGATATCGACATGCGGTTTGCGGGAGATGATAGCTCATACTCTTAGCTCTTAAACGAGCCTAAGTTGAGCTAGTTTGGTTAAAAACTCTACGAGTTACATC